CTATGTCAGTATCATTTCAACAATTCTTAATACAAAAGAATGCAAATAATCTCATTAAGTCTTTGAAACCTCACACTGGCAGCACAAGGCCATCCATAAGGGCCCCATCTCAAGGGCTCTGGGCCACCTGTGACTAGAGGCTTCTGTATTAAGCATGCAGGGCTATTCGATTTTTATGTAGTGGGAGAAGGTTTTAAGCAGACGAATAGGTTAGAAAAATCCATTGTACATTAACCATTTAGAGGTCATTTAAATAACACAATATTGTAAAAAATCTTGTATAATTTTAAAACAATAAAGATTTGAACCTGTAAACAGTGTGTGCCTCTTAAAGGAGGATACATTTTTAATATATTTGAGTGATCGCTGGGAAGTGTGAAAAAATGGTTCTGTATCACAGCAAAGAAAAACATGTTTATTAGAAAATGTTCTTTAACTCTATGCTATGTAACAGGCCTAACAGTGTTGTGTAGAATAGAACGGTGTAATCTCCATCCCTGGAGAAGCTGCCACTGAGCGGTGGTATTTACATGAGTTAGTTGAGTTGAAGACACTTGTTTCAAATTTGTCGCTAGAGAATAATGATTCTTTTCCAGAAAACACTTAATTTCTTGGTAAAAATAAGTTTAATGTTTTTAAACATGCATTTTTAATAGTACAATAAATGGAATAAACATCAGTGTGTAGAAAACTGAATTTGACAGCACATTAATGAATAAACGAACAAATGATTTAAGAAAAGAAAAATCTCTCAGCATCAGCAAGGGGCAAGTCCTCCTGTGAGCTCTCCGGGTCTGTCCCCACCATCTCCTGGGTGCTGCCACCCTCAGAGGCACCCCTGCTTTGTAAACTGCTGGCGTGGGGGCAGTATGTCCTGTTGCAGACTTTCTCCCACAGTGTTACCTGGGAGCCTTGTCCTGGGTTTTGTCCAGATTCCTGGAAAGTGGAAGCTGCTCTCCCCATTCCCATGTGGTTCCCAAGGCCCCCTTCCCCAGGGTGGCCAGAGGCGGGCCCCTGGCAGTTTTCATTTCAGGGTTTCTCACCTGAAAGTGTGATGCAAATACTTGACTCAGAGGCTAGGGGTGTGGTCAGATGAAGTAACATACCGGAGATGCTTCCTTCTGGGGACCCAGTAAAGTATTTATCAAAAAACTGTACTTTCTTTCCTTCAAAGTTGTCCTAAGAACAACTCTTCACATTGCCCAGAGAGCTGGAGGATGGGAAGTCAGAAAGCATGACTAGAGATCAGAGTGTCAAAGGCTGCTGAAATACACATGAACCTTTACCTGTCCCCCACAGAAGCAACTTCAAGGAGTCTGTTCATTTCAGGAAGAAGTGTCCAGAAAATATGCAGATTAGAGGCAGCTCTGCAGGGGGCCTGTGTTTCTAGCATCACAATAAGCTTTAACTGGTGAGAAAGCAGCTTTTCAGTTTCCCTGCTGGGCTCTGCTTTATTGGAGAAGCAGCTTAAAAATGGTTCTTAATCTCCAAGGAGTTTCCAGGTGCTTAATGGCTTGCCAGGGTGATAAGCTGAATTCTGGGGATGCGTTGGAGGAGATGCTACCACCCTTTTGCTTTCCTCTGCTCTTGAGAATCAAATGATGCTGCTCCGTCTAGGTGGTATTGGGAAAAAGGATTCCTTTGAAGTCCAACAGACCTGAGTTGAAGCCACAACTGTGTTACCAATAGCTATGTAATCTTTGGGCAGATTTATTGTATTTTTGAGTCTTTGTATACTTATCTGTAAAACGAATATAATACATATCTTGCAAAGTAAGATATACTGAGTTGTTGGAAAAGTCATGACATTTTTGCATTGAAAAATGCATTATAGGGGCTGGCAGGTGGCATGGTGGCTGGGGGTGGACTCCCACATGATCGACCACAGTTCAAGTCCTGGATTTGATGGCTTGCTTTCTCACTTTCTCTTACTCTCTCACACTCTGGTCAAATTAAAATACAAAAATGGATAGTTAAATAAAATAATTCTTTTAAAAAAATGAGAAATGCATCATAACTTTTCTGATGACCCAATATATGCAAGGTAACGGTGTATTAGCTCTATTGTGGCATTATCCCTACAACTCAGTGGTTTAAAATGGCATCGATGGTTTCAGTTTCTATGGACGAAGAGTCAGGACATGGCTTGGCTGAGTCCTCTGGTTCTCACAAGGCTCCAATTTGGTGTATGTCAGGGCTATGGTCTCATTTAAAGGCTCAACTGGGGATGGGTCTGCTTCCAAGTTCTCTCAGGTGTTGTTGCAGGTGGTAGTTCCTCAGGGGCCTGTGGACTGAGGGTAGTGATTCCTCGCCGACTGCTAGCTCGAGTCCACCCTCCATTCTTTGCCATGTGAGCCTCCCTACAGGGTCGTTAGGGAGCTCACAACATGGCAGCCATCATCTTCAGAGAAGAATCTTAGAATACGAGGTGGAAGTCAGTCCTTAATAACCCAATCTCAGAAGTGACATCCCATCACTTCAGCTGAACTTGAGGGCTGGAAGCATGTTCCTAGGCTCAATAGGAGCCTTACATTTGCACATGAGTTCCAGGAGGTGGGGTCACCAAGAACCATCCTAGACACCATTGGCCACTTCCAGTGTAAGAAGACGTATAAAGTGAGTGGCAGTTGTTACAGCCAATGTAAAAGCACTTGGAAAAGCCTCATTCACCACAGAAATAGAAGGGATCTTACTGTATTATGTATTAGGGCTGGGAAATTTACCAACCATGATATTCTCAGTCTATTAAATGAAGGTGGATTCTAACCCATGCCAGGTTATCCAAAGACTGAATTTAAAATGTACTTTGTACAAAATACTAGTCTAATAAACAAGTTCTCAAATAACAATGCTTAGACACAGGTTAAAAGGCACCCTTTTCCCTACTCAGTGGTTTATCGTATAGCCATATCCCTTACTACTCATTTTTAAATATCCATGTCTGGATGGAGTCATAAGTAAAAATGTATGTCAATTTTCTCGTCTGGCAATATAAACAGGAGCATTTAGTCTTGTGTATAAGCTCTGTAATTAATACTTTAACAGCTACATGTGTCAGTGGACAAGTGTGAGAGTTCTCTCTCATTTAACCATCCCCTAACTGTGTGGCATGTAAGGTGCTTTAAGGATTTGCCATGAAAAGCAATGTTATAACTGAGTATAGTATGTGGGTTTTCCCCCTATAATTTGAATCATGTCTTTCAGACAAAGCTCCAGAAAAGCAGTTAGAACACAAACATTTTGGGCCCAGCAATGGCAGTGTGCACAGAATTCTTCTCTGCAGACTGAAGCCACATGAGAAGTCCCAGTTCCGTTCCCAGCCCAACCTGAAAGTCTGGGGTGGGGCAGGGGCCCGTAGTCCCAGCTCTTCAAGAGGTTGCACAGGGGGTTCACGACAGTGAGTCCCTGTTTAAAACACCCACACTGGGCCAGCCCAAGACCTGGTGGTTCAGGCAGTCAGATCCTACATGACTAACCATGTGCTCTGAGTCCTGCACCCGAGGCTGATGAAACACACCAGGCGTGTGTGCGTGCCCAATCTTGAAAGGAAAGGGAGATGAAGAAGGGCTTGTGGCATAAGCAGCCTCATGTGGGGTGCTTGCCACTTCCTTGCTCTCCACACCCACCTTTAGTGAGGACAGATGCCCTTTGGCAAATTTCAAATGAACGGTTATTCCCTATACACAAACACACACACACGCACGCACAGAAGACATTTAGAGGGCTGGCTTGCTGACAGAGACAAGCCATGCTGGATTCATATGAACAATTGCAGTTCCCTGGTCAGCTTGTACGTGTCGGGCTTGCATGCCCGTGGGAAGGCTATGAGGGGATCGCAATGTATCACCCCACTGAGGGTTCTGGTCTTTCCTCTCTCCATCTCTGTCTCGCTCATAAAAGAAAGAAATACTTTTTTTTTTAAGGGGGTGTAGACATTTTAAAAAAATACAAACATGTTCATGGCTCTGTCATGTTTCATCCAAGTGAATAGAAGCCTTTGGTTTTGAAAGAAGCAAATGCCCGGTTGGCTACAGGTTACATTCCTCAGAGGTAGGCACTGTATCTTACTTCTAAATACTTTTAAAATCATAGTATCTAACCTAGAAGCAAGATTTAGTGACTATGTGTGGACTGAATGAATGAGCACTATTTAAAAATCTGAGACTTCATAAAAAATATTTAGGCTAGATTTATTATAACCCTTGTTCTTTTTTACATCGAGGGACGCTGCATTTCCATTTAGGTTTCCCTATGATGGGAGAGTCCCAGCAGCACCCAGAGCTAAGCTCCAGGTTGCCATTCCCTCATCTCACGTAATCCTCCCAGAAGCCCCTCCAGCTCAGTGTCCACACAGCAGCAGAAGCAAATGCTCGAAACATAAGTCTCATTATGTCTCACCAGTGCTTTTTCAGAGTTCCAGGAGACAGGCGTTGGTCTGACAGGCCGCCAGCGTCTAAAAGGAGCCCATAGGTCCTCTTTTTGGAGAATACTAGTTGTAGAAAAACTCCACCTAGGTGCACGCGATGTTTCCTGCCCTAAACCAAGCATCATGGGAGTTCTCCTGAGTGCAATTCAGCCCTGGGTGATGGGCCAGTTTAACCAAATTATGAGTCAGAGTTACAGAACATTTAAATAAGCAGGGCACAAATGATCCTCAAAAAATGCTTTTATGGGTCAAAATCTAGTGTGATAGGGCCTGCCATTCATTCTGCATCTTAGAACCCTTAGAAGACCAGAGAGGCTCTCTCTTCACCCCCAGGAATTTTCATCTGCTTGTTTCGCTAGCAGCACCCTCATGTTTAGACCAGGAGACGCTTGCAAAGATCCAAGCGAGTAAGTGACACATCAGAATTCCTTTGCACCCCAGGTCCAACAAACCTCACTGGCCTAGCCACTAACCTTGAACCACAGCGCTCTCTGGTGGGTAGCTAATGGTTTGCCTTGTCAGGGCCCCCTTTCTCCTGGCTGACCGCTTGCCTGTTTCTTTCCTTCTCTCTCAGGTTAAGGAAGCCATGCAACGGATCCACGACCGAGGGAACATCGGGAAGCTAATTCTGGATGTAGAAAAGACCCCAACTCCACTGGTGGGTGAAGAACAAAGGAATTTATTTGGCTCAACAGGAGAGGTATACGAAGGGTCTGTCAGGGCACACACAGGAGGAGTCAGAGGAAGCAAAGGCAGCTTGTGGGGCTTCAGAGGAGGCTGGGAGTAATCATGGGATTCCTCTGATGAAGTACTCGTCACAGTGGAGCTGAATGCTAAGGAGGCAAGGCAGAGGCCTCATGGAAGTATTCTAAGAGCAATCTGAGGACACAGACAGGAAAAGACAGAGACAATAGACCAATTAGAAGTAGTCTTTGGCTGCCACAGTGGGAGGAATTCCTGGTGAATCCCAATAAGCTCACATGCGTGAACCTACCAGTGATGCCAACAGCTTCCGAGATGTTCCCTGAAGGTTCCATTAATTTTGTCACTGTTGTTCAAGTGGGGGATAAAACCTTTCTATCCAGGGCATACTACCAGGAGTGTGGCTTGTGAAATTCACACTCCAGCTGTGCTTACAAGGGCACCTATGAGGGACTGGTTAGGCAGTGGTCAGTGCATAGATTGTCAGGCTGAGTGGATCCAGGGCCAACTCTGAGGCCCCGTTTGTGACCTGGGCAAATGGCTTTCACACTCCATCTTCAGCCCCTGTCTAGAAATGAGAGACTGATAAGTTGTCATGCATGAGTTATAATGATACTCACAAGGCATCGTCTGGTGCATAGTTAAGTTCTAGGTTATGTCTGACAAAGAATGCTTAGGAAGATTTTGTGTTTCTTCGTTTACACATATGTTGAATGTTGGAACTGGATCAGTTCTTTATTAAAAAGAAATTCCTTGTATAGTTTAATACAAAGTATATATTATTTATATTATTATATATTATTTAAAGTATTTCCTTGATTTTTTTTTTTTTTTTTAAGATTTCTTGCACTCACTGGAGAGAGACAGGTAGAAAGGGAAAGAAAGAAATCACCTCCCAGTGGGATGGCCATACTGCAGTCCCTACTCCTCCATTCCTCTCTCAAGATTTTGGGCATGCATGCACATGCACCCAACATGTTTTTCAAGCTGCCAGGTCCAGGACTCAAACTGCAGAGTCAGCCATGTGGGAGTCCAGCACTTTAACAGAGTGCCACCAGCAGGCCTTTTCCTTGGCTTTATCACTGTAAGGTAGCTTAAGTATGATGGCCATTTTGCTCAATGAAGGACAACAAGAGGGCCTTTCACAATATTTAAATGACTCCTAACGATATTGATACAGTTTATTAAGTACTTATGAAGTTCCAGGATTGTTTGAAGGCAGATGAGGAGGTGAGGCTGGGAAGGAGGTGGAGGCTGGGATCTCAGATCTCCTGTGCATCTGGGATATGACCTTTGACTTCATGGCCCATCAGTAGAAGGCAGAAGGCTCCAGAGCTATCCTGGCGAGATCATTGCACTGACTTCTTGCCCTAAGTCCTGCCCTCCTCCACTGCATGTGAGATCCAGCTAGGTCCCAGGAAGGTTTCTTTGACCAAGGAAGGATCCTCACTGGAGCGAGTGTTGAATAGCCCACCTGTCAGGGCTCAGGAACTGCCCTGGATATGGCAGTGTCCTTGTCCCTGAACCTGGGACCTAAAGAAACAAGGGGGTTACAGAGAAGAGGATTTGGAGCATCCGTGAGGAAGGCAAGCAGCCTCTGCCCATATAGATGGAGGAGCAGACTTGAAGGGGAGTACACTGGTGAAATGTAGGGTACCATGAGATCCAGAAGGGGTCCAGTGAGGTTGTTCCTAAGGCCCACCCTGATGGAAATGGAACATACCAGGTCACAGACCAGCAAGAATGTGACTCTCTGCTTAGCTTAGCAGGCAAGGTGTCTCCTGGGGCAGTAGGAGGGGCCTGCAGAGGTGCTTTCTTCCCTGGAATGACCACTCCAGAGTTCAGGCTGACTCAGGGCCCTCGGCAGTCCTCCATTTGCCCAGCTGGATATGCTGCAGGGGTACCCCCCAACACACACACCAACCTCCAGTAACAGTCTGGACCAGGAGACTCAGAGGCAGCCTATAGCAGGGGAAGGCTGTTGCTGCTGACAGCTCTGCAAGTGCATTTCCTGGGAGACACCAAGCATGGAGTCCCCCACCCTGCACAGAGCCTCATCTCAATGAGACAGCCAGAGTGGAGCCAGGGTACACCCTATGATGTGCCATGAGGTCAGAGCAGAGAGGGGAGCTGCTGCCTCCAGGACCCACCATATCAGAGGGCAGCTCTGCCTCAGTCCTGGCCATCTGATCAGTGCCCTGGACAGTGAGTATCCTCTTCTGAAGGCTGCTGCCCATCACCTCAAGGTCCCCCTTGTCCCTGCTCTAGGGTGGAACTAACAATAGTGACTATCATGCCTGCTGCCTCCCAGAGCAGCTGAGAAGAGCCAACGGGGTAAGGTGCACGAGTCCCTTGCACACTGGTGTATACGTAACTCATGCTACTGAGGGAGAGCGCCTATGACTATTTACTTACTATCCTCACAGTATTTATGACATATCTACCACGTGTCAGAGACTACGCCAATTGCAAGGAATTAAACAAACAAAAACCTGGAAAAACCACCAGAGACTTGGTCCTCTGCTGTAGCATCTACAGTTTGGTGGGGACACTGGTCACCAAGCTACACAGATAGGCTATTGCAGCCATTGATCGGCACTCAAAAGCAGCAGCATGTGGCTCCTGAAAGCGCCTAATAGGGGAATTGTTCTAGGCCAAGAAGTCCAAGAAGGCTTCTTGAGGAAGTAGGCTGAGCCTCAGGAATGGTGGGCAGTACCAGGAAGGGGGTGAAAGGATGGCTTTGTGGGGAGGTGCTACCTGTGCAGTGGCCAAGCGTAGCACCAGCTGGGGCATAAACATGCCTGTTAACGTTCCTGCTCCTAGGAAGTGACAGCACCAGGACTTAAACCTGGTGGATCTGTGTGGTGACCCTCATTGTACCATGTCCCCAAGACGCTCTGATTCTCCTGCACAGGAGTGAATGTCTCCTGATAACAACCACCTGCCTATGAGCCGCTGGCCACGTGCTCAGGTTATGAACCGAACCTGCTGAGATCCCAGGGAAATACCCACCTGCCCCAAAGAGTAACCTTCAGCCATACCCTCTCTTCCTCAAGCCTCAGGTGAAAAGGTGTCCCTTGCAGTCCCCCGGAGATCCAGAGAGTCCCGGGAGTGAGTCCAGCTGCGTATGGCAGCAACTTATTACTGAACCCACTTTGTCTTATCTTCTCATTCTGCTAGTGCCTCCTGGGATCAGCTCACAAATTCCAAGTGCTTGCATCCAAATATGTATCTTAAACTGTGCTATGTGGGGTGCAACAGAAGCCCGCTCAGACCGCACTGTTTTCCAAAGAAGCAAGAAACCCTAGCTCCTAGCTCAAAGGGGTCCTTGCCAGGGGACTGCATCAGATGCCTAGAGAAGGCAGGGGTTGGGGCAGGTTATTTAAATATGTGTAATTCTGTTAAATTACAGATGGCCAATGACAGCACAGAGACCAGCGAGGCAGGAGAAGAAGAGGAGGACCATGAAGGTGACAGTGAGAACAAGGAGCGGATGCCCTTCATCCAGTAACCCAGGATCTAGGCAGGAGACTGTGAAGGACAGTTTGGAAGAAGAGGACCTGGCTAGGAAACTCTTCTGTGCCCCAGTGAACAAATGCTGTAGTCCTGTGCGTGTTGTGTTTGTCTGCAGTAAGCTGAGCTAAAAAGCTGTTGATCACTGTTGTGTTTCGAAATTAAGTGCCAACCCCATTCCACGCAGTGTTACGTCCCCTTTCAGATCCATGTATTCATGCTCCTCTCTCCCCTGTATCAACACCCCTTATCTGCAGGTCCTTCTTGAGAGTTCTAGAATGGCCTTGCAAATTAATACAAGTCCACAGGCCCAATACCCAAGAAACCAGACATGGGCAAAGACAAGTTCGGGCTGAAAAAGAGTGCTATCCAGGTCCCCAAGTTCTTCAGGCCAATGACACTTTTTGTTGCCAACCACCCAATGGCTCTGACAAGAGCATTTGCCAATTTGGCCACCAGAAAAGGGGCTAGAACAGATGTTTTCCTGAACCTCTCTAGAGAGTACTTTTTCTCTCCCTTAAAGAGGCAACTGTAGTCCAAAAGTCTCAGTCTCTCTCCTCTCTCTGGTGTTTGGACCTTTCCCATAAACACGGGCAGTGCCAGTTTCTCAGGATAGAAGATGGCTCAACAGCCTGAGTTGAAGGACCGGCTGCAGAGATTTCTGCCCGAAACCATAGCTGAGAAGCAAAACCCCTCCCCCTAGCCATTTACCTTTCATTTTGATTTTAAGAAAACTCACCACAGATAACACTAATTCAGACGTCATTGCTGAGGCTCACCCATGTTCACACATGTGCCATGGGCATTTTCAATTTTGCCATTTTCGATTCCTGGATGTCATGAATCCCTTGACCACAGATTCCCTGAGGAAGAGTTCCCTTGCAGATCACACTTGGAAAACTCAATGAGTATCATGTTTCTTACCAAACGATGCTCCCATGTGTAACAAATCTGAGTGATACAAAAGGCAGATGTTTGGCTTATGATGCCACATTGCAGTCCCTCCTCCTGATGTGCAAAATCGTGGTGCAACAGGGCCTCTGCTCCTTGGAGATCACGTGGACCCAGTGACTTGACTGCAGCTTGGTTTCTAGCTCCTGAACTCCTAAGAAGCGTCACACTCCCTCCCCACTCCATTTGACTGGGCATAAGGTGAATAGTCACCCTCATGAAGGAGAAAGGAGTCTCATTGTCTCCACAAGAGGGATCTTCATTCCCTCCTTCCAGTTATTTTTTGGCGGAAAGGGTCACTTTGATCACTCACAAACCAAGTTGGAAACAAGGAGCCCAAATGATTAGCACCCCAGGTTTTTATTTATTTATTTTTTTTGTTCATGTGTGTGTTTTGTTTTTTGTTTTTCTTTTTTGCATTCTGGAAGCCATCAGAATTCCCTCAGGCCCATGATAAGCACCTGGCTTTTCCACATTCTGGAAGACATCAGGGGATTCCTACATTGTCCCACGTCCCCCCAAGCCTTAGGGTGGCCCCACCTCTTCTCCCAAGGCACAGGATGAATGTGCTTCAGCAATTGCCTATTTCCAAAGTTCTTTTGTAACAAATGTCACCTCATCCACGATGATCTTTTTTCCTACCCTAACCTTGTGATGACTTATGCCAAATATATACCCTAAGAGAGTGTCATCTCATTGTAAATGCACGTGAAGAGAGGCTACTGCTATCTGTGAGCCGAGGGATGACAGTACCTCCAAAGAGTACACAAACATCGTCTTCCCTTCCTACCCCAGGACTCACCAGTATTCCAGCTCTGGGCCGTCTAGAGACAACTGCACATTTGTTCCCCAGCACCTTCTCAGTGCTCTGCGATTGTGCACGTTTCTCTCTTTACCATGCTAGGATAGGAATGCTAAAAGAACCACTATCCAAGTGACATTCCTAGCAAGTAGGGAAAACATGGCATTTTCTAGGGTTCGAGGAGCGAAGAGTCACTGGGCATGTCAGGGGGAGTGGGAACTTGTCTCCATTCAGAATCGTATGACTTTTCTTATGTTCAAAAGAGAAGTAGAAGCAGTCATTTCTCCTCAAATCTATTTTAATAGGTTCATCTAGTCACCACAAATTATGCCAACTGGTTAAAGAAAACCCTTTCCTCTTCTCAGAATACAGAATAAAATAGAATTTAACCAATAAGACCAATTTCTGCCATGAAGAATGGAGGAGGGGCGGATGTAAAAATCAACTAGTTAACATCCTCTCATTTTAAGGACTTTCTTTCCCATCTCATGATTTTCTGAAGGAAGTGGAAAGAGCGTCTCAGTTTGCCTTAAAGGAACTGTAAAGGCTTCTTTGTAATTTAAGCTTGATCCGAGTGAACTGAAGCATTGTCTAATGTATTCGTGGCTTTAGAGCTTTTGTTATATTGTGCCTACAAAGCAAATTATGTTTACATAAAGAATATAAATAAAGTATTCAGCATAGCACAGCCTGGTCTGGTATTGGTACTTCACATAAATCATTGTTGGGTGAGCCCCCCCCCC